AAAAAAAAGCTTGTCAAAAGTCCTGCTTTACAATGCATATTAAGCACAGTAAGGAAGCTCCGACGAATTTCAGATTTGATATTGGCTTAACACTGTTTTGCTAACTAAGCATGGTTCTGTGATCCAGCCTACATCCTACGTCATGGACCGCAACCTAGCGTTAAATTTTCTGAAAACAACCTTAAACCATACAGCTATGGATTTTGAGCGTCGTGTGGTCATCGAGTGGAGCCACGCGAAAGACGACAAATCGTGAATTACGCTCGCATGTTTTTGACACACCTCCTTTTCGAAACCTCTTTTTCAAGAAAAGAGAAGAAGAAAAGAGTCCTCCGTCGATCATGCTTAGGCAAAAAGCGGCGCAGTAGTTAAGCTAAAGCGGTATTTCAACAATCGTTTTCCGGATTTTGTCGCATTCCCCCCAACACGCATTGTCGGAATGGTTGTTTCATACAAATTTGATACAGAGAGGAATCTTAGACACCTTATCGATGGAGTGACATGCAAGCCTTCTATAGAAAAATCGCACCAGAACTGGCGAAGATAGCAGAATGACAATAACACTCCCTTACAATGTTCAAAGTTAAGTACCTGTCAGATTCTTCTTATCCTGCTCGTTCTGTTGCATAATTTCACCAGACTCAGAAGAAGTCAAGCATTGATGTTCACTTCCTGCCGCAGTGTCCGGGATGACTTCTCGTTCAGAAATATTCTTTTCTTGAACACTGCTGTTGCTTAGCATTCGCTCAGGGCTTTTGTCATCTGTTGTAGTGGCTTGAAGGGCCTCCATGTACCAACTTGCCTGAAATAAGGTTGTTAAAACTTAAAAGTTATTCCAGTTCCAGGTTAAGCCTCTATATATACCTCCGCTGGCAAGGTATCCAATACAATTATTGGTGCGCCACGTTTGAAGAGGTAGGCCAGATTCGCATGCTCGTTCCACTTGAAACAAATAAATTTGAACTGTTATTCTGTAGAAAAAGAATTAATTTGAATAACAATATGTTCCAGCTTCAGTAAGAGCTAGCAGCATTAATTCATTAGCTTTGAGTTAAGTAATACTGTAGCTGGTCACCAACGTGACGTAAAACGACTTTACCTCCATGACTTCAGGGAGCGAAGGGACGACCCTGAAAGACAGATGTTCA